TTGGACCTCAGGTCTCAACTCAAATAGAGCTTCTCCAAGACACATTGTGATGAACCTGTCCAAAGTCAAGACAAAATAAAAGATTTTGTAAGCTGCCAGGAATAAGTACCAACTGACCTACAGGGCAAATCCATCAGGGTGACCACGGACTTTTCTAATGAAACTTTTCAAGCCAGAAGACAATGGTCCTCTACCTTTGATCTACTTAAACAGAACAATTTCCAGCCCAATTTCCAGAATTCTATATCCCACTAAGCTAAGTTTTAAAATTGATGAAGAAATCAAATCTTTTACTGATATGCAAACATTGAGGAAATTTGCCACAATAAGACCAGCTCTACAGGAAATACTTTAACTCGTTTTACACACTGACCATTGCAATGGACCACCAGCAAAGTAAGCACCTGGAAATTAAAGGACAGAATCTAGCTTCCACAATGATGCAAAGACAAAACTAAGCAATGGACTTTCACAAAATAAGATGGATAGAATGCTACCACACTTATCAAATATCTCGATAAATGTTAATGGCTTGAATTCCCTACTGAAGAGGCATAGGATGGCTGATTGGATAAAAAAGCACAAGCCTTCCATTTATTTCCTGCAAGAAACACACCTAGCCTCAAAGTACAATATAAAACTCAGGGTTAAGGGATGGAAAACAATTTTTCAGGCAAATGGGAATCAGAAGAAAGAAGGGATTGTGATCTTATTTTCAGATACAAGTGGATTTAAAGCAAGTAAAGTAAAAAAAGAAGAAGGTAAAGATTACAATAACTGGAATCACACCATCTTCCTAGACGTAACCAGGAAGAAATAGATCTCCTGAACAGACCAATTTCAAGCACTGAGATCAAACAATAAAAAAATCACCCAACAAAAAAATGCCCTGGTCCGGATGGCTTCATACCAGAATTCTGTCGAACCTTCAAGGGGAGCTTATTCCCATACTGCAGAAATTATTCCAAAAAATTGAGGAGAAAGGAATCACCCCCAGCACATTCTATGAAACAAACATCACCTTGATTTCAAAACCAGGAAAGGCCCCAACCAAAAATGAGAACTACAGACTAATTTTGCAAATGAATATTGATGAAAAATGAATAAAATCTTAGCTAGTAGCTTGCAGCTACACATCATCACAATCAAGTAGGCTTCATCCAAGAGATGCAGACTGGTTTAATGTATGCAAATCCATAAATGTAATACACCATATCAATAGAAGCAAAACCATAGGTCATATGATCCTCTCAATAGATGCAGAAAAAGCATTTAACAAAATCCAGCATGCTATTCTAACAAGACTGCTTAAGAAAATAGGTAAAGGTGGCATATTTCTTAAGCTCATTGAAGCCATCTATGACAAACCCACAACTAACATATAGTGAATATAGTAAAAATGAAAGCTTTCCACTTGGAACTGTAACCAGACAATGATGTCCACTATTGCCACTATTATTCAACATTGTGCTGAAAGTTCTAGGCAATGCAATCAGGCAAGAGAAGGATATAAAGGGCATCCAAATGGGAGCAGAGGAGGTCAAACGCTTCCTCTTTGCTGATGATATAATCTTAGAGAACTCAGAGACTCAACCACAAAATTCCTGGAAATTATCAGAAAATACAGTAACATCGCAGGATGTAAAATCAATGTCCACAAATCAGTAGTGTTTGTATGTGCCAATGACAGCCAAGTTGAGAAGCAAATCAAGGACACAATTACCTTCACAGTACCTTCTGTGAAGAAGGAAATACTTAGTAATATACCTAACAAAAGATGTGGAAAATCTTTTCAAGGAGAATTATGAAACCCTAAGAAAAGAAATTGCAAAAGACACTAACAAATGTAAGAACACACGATGCTCTTGGCTGGGAAGAATCAACATTGTTAAAATGTCTATTCTACCCAAAGCAAACTATAGATTCAATGCAATACCCATTGAAGTGCCAACCTCATATTTTGAAGAACTAGGGAAAAAAGCACTTCATTTTGTATAGAACCAGAAAAAACTCATATATCTAAGGCTACTCTTAGTAATAAAAACTAAGATCACCACCCTACCAGACTTCAGGCTATATTACAAGTCCACAGTAATCAAAACAGCACAGTATTGGCACAAAAATAGAGACATAGACATATGGAACAGAATAGGAAACCAAGAGTTGAGACATGTCTCTGCTTGCCATCTGATCTTTAATAAACCTAATAAAAGCGTACAGCAGGGGAAAGAATCCCTATCCAATAAATGGTGCTGGCAGAACTGGATAACCACATGTAAAGAGTGAAACTCGACCCACACTTTTCACCTCTTATAAAAATTGACTCAAGATGGATAAAAAACTTAAATCTAAGACACAAAATGACAAAAATCTTGAAAGAAAGTGGGGGGAAAAATATTGATATGGACTAGGTAAAGATTTTATGGCAAAGACTTTAGCAACCACAGCAACAATGACAAAAATTAACAAATGGGACTTAATTAAGCTGAACAGCTTCTGCACAGCTACAGACACACAATGACAAGCCATTTCACACTAGGGTGAACATAATAGTAAGAAGAAAAGAATAAGTTTTGATAAGAATGTAGACAAATAGAAACCCTCCTATATTACAGGTGGGAATGTAAAATGGTGCAACTGCTGTGAAAAACTGTTTGGCAGTTCCTCAAAAAATTAAACACAGGATTACTGAATGACCCAGAAATTCCATTTCTCTAGGTAGAGAAATGAAGACATACTGTTCACTGGAAATTTGTACACAAATGTTTACTGCTATATTAGTTGTGCTAGCCAAAAGAAGAAATACCACAGATGTGCAATGGCAGATGAATGGGTAAATTGTGGCATAAACATAAAATGGGAATATTATTTAGCCATTGAAAAAAATGAACAATGATACACATCCATGCAACAATTGGATGGACCTCCAAAATATTATTCTAAGTGAAAGAAGCCAAGCACGACAGGTCACAGATCGTGTAATTTCTTCTACATGACATATCCAGAATGTACAAATTCATAGAGACAGAAAGATTAGTGGTTGCAAGGGGACAGTGCACAGTGGTGGACAGGAGAATGGGGAGTGATGATTTTATAGGTACATGACACAGTGTTCTGGGGTGATGAAAAAGTTTGGAAAGTAAAGAAAGAAGATTGTTGCACAACATTGTGAATGCACTAAATGTCACTGAATCATATTTTAAAATGGTTAATTGTATGTTATGTGAATTCACAGTTTACAAAATGGGCCATAACCTTATGTTTAGCATATCCTGTTTTAATTAAACGTGCAGACAAGATAGAAATGTGTTAGATCATAATTCAATCACAAAATGAATATCAATGAGTAGTGAGCAATCAGGTAATTTCAATTGGTTTCTCTTAAATTTTTTTTTAATTTTCCAACAATTTAAAAAAGTAATCACATGTTAAATATCTTAATAACTAGGAAAGAGAGGATATAGTGGCATTGACTAATAGATTTCTAAGACCATGGTGAAAATCTTTATGCTATAGGGTTAAGCGAGGATAAAAAAAAAAAAATCACACTGTATACACAGTACGAACCCAAGTATTTAAAATGCCCAGCTTATGGTAACAGTCAGTCTGTGGGAAATAGGCAAGAAAGTGCTGTTTTTCTTTCTACTTTCCAAATTTTCTGAATAATTACATATTTTGACTATAATGAAAAGGCAACTTTACCTTTAAAATGTTTGCTACTGGGAAAACTAAGTTCAAAAAAGGAGAAGTTTGATAAAAATGGTTTGCTATTGACAAGGAAGATACACTGGATTTATGTATTTTGAAACATAACTACTCATCATAGAAAAATTGTAAAATGCAGAAAATATAAAGATAGAAACTTAAATTACCACAATCCACCACCTAGAGATATTTAGTTGGGCTTGAGCTGTTTAGAAACAATAATCCTTCACGTCCATTCTAGTGAGAACACCGACATCACCTGTTTAGCAGAGGTGTACTGTGAGCCTATTCCGTGCTGGGCCTGCTCTGTAAGGACCGGTCTCCAGACAGAGACCACTGAAGGACAGTTGCTGATCGTTGCCTGACATGCTTTCTCGCCTCACATGGTTTTAGCAGTTTAGCAACTCGAATGTTTTCTGGGGAGCCAGCCCTTTCCCATTCATAGTACAAGCAGTTGGCTAGCAGTCCCCAGCCTACCCAACAAAGGAGGGATCCAGGCTTAAGTCCATCTATGGATTCAATATCTAGAGCCACAGAGATTCACTAATTTAAGACAATAAATGTCAAGTGCAGCATATGTGTTAAAAACATTGAGAAGACATGTGGACTCTGTCACATCGAGCATTTGTAATTAAATGCGGGATGTTAGAAGTCCCCTAGAAAGAAAGCTGTGACAATGAGTGGGTTGCTAGATGGGTCTAGTGGACAGTGGCCATGCTCCACCGTCCTCCTCCCCACACCATACTCTGGTCAGAGTCTCTGCCACCAGATGCTCAACTCTCTAAGGAAGGAGAGATGCCTCCAACATGCACAAGAAAAGGGTCCAAACACACACTGCTGATTAATTCCCCTGATGGACATAGCAGCATGGCCATAGAGGAACCGGTGGTTCTATCACATGAACTCAGGTTGCTGGGGCTTCAGTAGCTCTACTGGCCAATACCACATCCTATAACCCCCACTTCAAAGACTGGGTTTTTCCCTGGGCTGGAACCAGTGGTCTGCTCTGTGTCACTGGCTGTGGTACTGGTGTGGTCACCACATGATTCTCACACAACCACTCTGAAGTTGTTATCTGGAAGATTCTCATGCACCACATGATTGTTGCACGACCACCTAAAAAAAGAGATGGATGAGGGGAGTAAGGGGCTTTCCTAGAAAGCCTTCTGTGATGAAACACCACAAAACCAGAGGGGGACATGAGGTCACTGAGCACACCCCACCTCCTTCCTCTCCTGAGAGCTAAAAAGAGCAAGGAGGGCACCTCTGCAGCTCCAACCTGGGCAGCCGCCGTGATGCAGCCACTCCTGCTCCCACTCCTGCTGGCCTTCTTCCTGACCCCTGGGGCAGATGCAGGTGAGTGACTGTCCCAGCCTCAGAGCCCTAATTCATCCCACAGACCTCCCACCCCTTCTGCACATCCTGGACCCTTCTATCTACCAGGGACATTCTGAACCCCAGCTCTAGTCCCTCTACAGAACCTTTCCCAAATGCAATGCTGGGTGAGGTCTCAGCAGGAATGCCACTGCAGACCATTCTTAGGAAGAGCTAGTGGGTACAGTCCCCTCCCTAGGCCTCACCCTTGTCATCTGGAAGTGCATGGCAGAGGGTGGGGATCTGAAAATGAGAAAACATACAATTCTCCTAGAGACGGCAGAGCCAGCCTGACTTCTATGTCTGGGATGAGACAGATGCTTCCCTCACTGTCTGAGAGAAGCCCAGAGGTCAACTAACCCAGAATTGGTGGGATCACTGTCCTCTGAACATTGACCTACATTTTTGCCTTTACTCAGTCTCAAGCCACTCCTTTCTCCAGCTCTGCTTTCCTTCCCAGACCTTTGGCCCTGCCCTTCTTTTCCAGGATGAGCCACTGTGGCACATC